GAGTAACATACAGGCCATTAATTTCATTCCATATAACATATATACTGCAAACAAAACTATGAATCAATCTTCTATAAAAAAAAAATACAGTCATATTAGTAATTTAATCCAATTAGTATGATTACCTGAACTAGGAAAAGAGTAAATAAAACACCCTTTTTTTCTGAGAAAAGCCTGTAAATTGGCACTATAAGCAAGAAGTGAATTGTATAACTACCCATCACACATAACAAGACTGTAGCTAAAATAGGTGCAATGAAAAATATCTATCCTCATATGTTAAATGAAGCGTAGTAAACTTTCCATAAGAACAGGTAGGAAGCAACACTAAACTAAGGTTGCATTAATATATTTGCTTTCTAATTTGGTACACAGCCACGTTGATAATAATAAAGGAATTTTAGTTATAAATATTACTTGGAATATTACTCAGTTCAGTCAGAATTGATAATGAAAGATAATATCATATATAATAATAAAATTAACAGTAAATAATAATGATAATAACAACAATACTTCAAGTAGTAATAATTATAACAACAATAATAATATTAATATAATTACCAATATTAATTAGTTTCATGAAACTCCCTTTTATAACTTCCCTTAACGAAACGCGTTTTAATTTGTTAATTTTTTTGTGATAATTAGATAAACAGAATATAAAGGTGGAAATTCTTTACAAAAAATAGATGACAAACAAAATGCTCAGTGTTATCAGTGTTGAGCTGGATGAAACTAGATTTAACCATTCATGCACTCAAAGATTCTTCCAGTGTCTTAATCAGAGATAATAGATCTATATACTATGAAAGGATGAATAACTGCTCAAGATCCAATGCATGTTTACATGTCTTTCTTATGAAAAATACTTCAACTTTAAGAATTTCCATGTACTGACATCAGTCAAATTTACTGCAACTTATGGTAGACAACTTTCAGCTCTATCTAAAAGAATTATTTTTTTTCCTTACTGTTTATTCACGGTTTACACATGGCCACAATACATTCATCATAGCCTATAATTAAGCGAGATCCAAATTTTCTATGACTATAAAAACTGGAAAACTAAACTGTTTCCATACAAGAGAAGTTCACACTTATCTTTGCTTAATTTTGGCAGACTATCTTTTGAAGCAGAAAGCACAACCTTTAAAAAATCTGCCGAACTCACAACTTGCTCTAGCATTTAACATGTAAATTTCACCTATACACTTCACAAAGGAATTATACGTAAGAAATGCCCTATCAGACAGACAATGTATCATCTGATCTCATCGTAAGACATGAGCTTCCCATCTGAAGGGGTATAATCTAACTGGGACACTTCGGATTCCTTGTCCAAGTGACAAAAAGGGTCGTTCTCTTCGTTCTCTTCTTGCGCATCCTCTCTGCTTGGTTCTGCAGGACTTGAATCATGGGCGCTGTGCCCACTGTCATCATTCTCCTCCTCGTGATTTTCGTATTCGTTCACCAGCGTGTCCATGAATTCAGACAGAGTATCACCCTGTTTGGCTCCACACTTGCGCAGTTTTTTGTAGGTTCTTTTCCCAAGTGGCTTCTTGTAGAGTCCTGATACAATCATGTACTCTTTACTTTGGTGAGGCACTGCACCATGATTCATCTGGAATGTGGATGTACATGTTAAAACTGCTTTATAAGTATAGGCAAACTTAGAAATTAATTAAATGAATAAATCAATAAAAAATAAATAAAAATAAAGAAAGAAGGAAAGAAAATATATATACTGTATAAGAAGCACATTTTCTGATGTATCCAGATTTTCAGTATACCTGAAGCTGAGTGTAAGCATTATATGTATACCTGTTTTCCATAAGTGACAATAATAATAACAATAATAATACTAATAATAAAAAAAAAAAATACTAATAATACTAATAATACTAATAATAAAAAAAAAAAATAATAATAATAATAATAATTAAAAAAAAAAAAAAAAAAAAAAAAAAAAAAAAAAATAATACAATCTACATGAGAGCATCTTTGTTGCTTGCTTTCACCATGATAGAAAGCAGCAAAGATGTCTATCCAGGATACCCATATGACTCTGTTGCATACCCAGCTTAAAGATGGGTAGAGGGAAGGTAGCTTATGAAGTAAGTATTTGGTCTGAACAGGTAGCTAACTCTGATGATGAAAACTTTCTGGCATTTGATAATGATTACCTTTTTATTTACAAGATATTCCTTGCAGAAACACTTTATATTTGCATCCCTTCCCCCATACTTAATATATAATAATCTTCAATATTGTACTATAATGTATTCTTACTAGTGGATGAGCACTAATTACATTTACTTATGAGTTGCAATATCAAATTTAAATTTACAAATATAACATGCTTTCCTTCTTGTCCCAATTCATTGAAATATATTTTTTCTATGGATTTTACACCATACTTTTCTCCAAGTCATCCAAAACAAAATCAATGTCATATACTTGTATGTACTAATTCGTTTAATCCAACACCACCCATCATGGTAAACAAATAGAAGACACACACACTACAGAAATTAAAACTAATATTAATACCTGGTACTGGCAAAGAAGTTGTAGTGGTTGAACCAAAACATCATAAATTGACCAATTTTGCTCAAGGGTGGCTAGGGCAATGGCAGCTGTCTCTACTGTCGAGAGTGCATCCTCGGTGGGCTGCGTGCGGATGACATACTCACTGGTGTACTTCCCAGTCAGCCTTACCTAGAAATATGGGGAAAGAAAAGGAAATCTTAAAAAATCAAAGAAATAAACAAATAAAAATAGGAATGAATCAAAGGATTCCATCACTAAAAATAAAGATTCTGTCCCGACCTTCTACATCATACTCTAAATTATCATTATTATGAAAAGAATGAAATCTACGTGTAATACTCCCCCCCATCTTAAATCAAACTTAGGGTAACCCAATTGGCACGGACGGCAAAAATACATGCCATACCCACTGTAATATAAGTTAATTTATTGTATTTACACATAGATGGCACTAGAAATGTTTAGTCACCAAGGAGCTAGTTATTAGTCCTACTTTTGCTTGATATTTTGAAAGTTTCTCTTATATCATTTCATTTCCTTTAATGTTATCAAGCTTTTAATAACACTTTAATGATCATAATATCAATAAGAATAATAACAGATAACAATAAAGAATAATAACAAATATCGAAAGTATAAGAAAGAAAAACACATTTTCCTGCAATTCTAAGGAATGTGGAAATCAGGAGCAGTCACTAGGGCCTACAGATAGACTCCTTGCTGGCTGAGCACAAGTGGAGCCATTTGTATATAACAAAATTCACAAAAAAACTACAAGGGACAGTACACAAATCTGTAGTGATTTGGTTAATGAGGTAGTAAAAATATTGTTCATAAAGAATATATAGACATGCTGCTCCTTTTATACTAAGAAAGAAGACAGAACACATAAAAAATAAATTGAGATGTTCAATGAACACTACCAAGCTGGTATTCCAGTTTATGGAGATAGTATCCAGGGCCTTATTGGACTTGGTAACACAAAAAACCAACAGTAATATTATTTAAGTACCGCAAGTGGTTAATGAAGCTAGACAAACTAAAAAAGCATTGACGATCTATTAACCCAATGGCGCCGGGTGTACAAAACAAAACAAAAAAAACTCTACGCTTAAGCAAACAAAGGCGGCGACTTTGAGCGTGTGAGTAGGGGACATCAGCCCGAATCACTGGCTTGCCGTGCTTTGGCACGCCGCCAGCTCGTTTGGCTGCACGCCAGCTTTCGAGCGCTTTGTTTACACGCCGATCGGCGTCACCCGGCACCAAGGGGTTAATTGTAGTGTTTAAAGTACTATGATCCAGTATTTTCTTGTAGATATGCTAAATTGTTGTAACATGAAGCCACAAAGTATTATGGAATAACTTTTTCTGACAAATGAATATGGACTATTACCAAACATACTTTAAGTTCAAAATTTATTACTCATTTAATCAATTTGGTCTAAGAAACATGTGACAAGTAATAAACAAGATATAAAAACTTGAGTGACAGAGACGACTCTAGAAAATGATAACTCAGTGCACATAAATACCCCTACACATGAATTTATGTGATCCATGAACAAAAGAATTACCTCTGAAATGACAGAGGAAGTGTGAAATGCCAAAGAAAGTTCTTTTCAACATTTGAAATATATCTTACTGCATCTTTGCTAAAAAGATTAAGCAGAATGTCCCTACATATCTGAAATTAAACATTTCAAACTATCAAAGCAACTACCTATGCAGCATTCCACTAAGGATACACTCCAAGGAAAAACAAATGTAAATATACAAGCACAAATACACATACATAAGAACATCTTCACATATATACACTAAAAACAATTTCAATAAAGGAGCACTTCACTCTAACATCCAATATACACAAAGATGTTTATGAAGCAAGAAATAGGTATATAGATGAAATTATTAGAGCTGACATTATATTCTAACTGACTGAAGGAAACTTGTATTATGAACCTAACATGTTGGGCAATATAAGGTTTTGGATTGATGAGAGCATGACAATATGTTATCGGAGTTAAAAGTATGGAGGAGGTAGCTTTTAGGAATAAATAACATCAAAAAAGGTAAGAATAAAAACTGAAATCCAATACACATTACTAGAAATTAGATCTAAGGTCTGGCCTTGAACTATGTCATACCTCCCATTTCCTTAAAATCGATACTTTTATCTTACCTGCTTCAGTGAATGCAGCTGGTGGCAATTATGGAACATTGATTTAGCCTGCTGCCACGTCCCATCGATGATAATTATGTTGTACGGGGGCTGGTTCTTCCCAACTGGAGGCAGTTCTTCAAGGCTCATAGCATCTTCTCCTGGATACATGAGAATTGAATTCTCACTTGTCAAAATGTCTGTTAGCTGTGGATACCTTGGGGATAGATAAAAAAATATATATTTAGCACACTTCTGATTAAAGAAAATAATAGCTAGAAGTAGTTAATGTGAGGGGAAAAAAGTCAGGAAAAAATGTTTTAATTATATAAGTTTTAGAATAGTGCAAAGCACTACTTACAATAATACTCAATCTCACTCTTACAGATATATATACAAAGAAACTCAAAGAAAGAAAAAAAATAAAAAATAAAAAGTTCACAGAGCAATATACCTTGTCAACGAGAACCTCTTTCCCTTGACTTGCATATAGGCTCCATTGGGAAGCGCCGCCTGCAGCATCGGGGCAGTGCGAAGGCATCGCTTTTCCTCGTGTGGGTGCTGGAGTATCACAACTCGGCATGATGTCTCCACTATCTGTTTGTCAAGACTCTGGCACCAGCACACAGCCACAGGTCGACTGCAAAAAAGGTGTTTTACTCTTATATTTATCACTTTATGGTTTTAATTGTATCTACTCTTATGCTGTTATATTTCTTTTTGAAATAATAATGTAGAGATCTATATTTTAATGGCATTTTAACATCAGACAAGTGATTATTAATATAAACATCTAATGGGACCTACTGAAGTTAAAAATATATTGCCAGAAGGGCCTGATATCTAAATTAGAAATTATTTATATGTTTAACATCAGACAAGTGATTATTAATATAAACATCTAATGGGACCTACTGAAGTTAAAAATATATTGCCAGAAGGGCCTGATATCTAAATTAGAAATTATTTATATGTTTCACTCAAGTAATAATGAAACAAATTCTTATCATACAATGACTATTTCTCCTGCAAAACTACACTTATTAAGAAAAGAGACCAATGAATGATAAGAAAATAATTTAAATTATCAAAATAAGAAATCTTAAATTACTAATATGATGATATAAATGCTGCTTATTAGTGAAAGATGTGATTATTAATAATAGAACTTTATAAAGTGATGCCACAGCCTGTAGGATTAAGATATCTTTACAATCAATATTTGGAGCACGGCAGACTCTAATATACATAGACACTTACAGTATAGAGAGAATACCAACATATTAAAAGGTACACATTATAGAAATGAAATGTTTAGGCCATAAAAAAACTTGTGAATTCTACATGAAGGTAAATATATCATGCACAGTATACATTTGGTATAGGCCTAAGACTATGAATTTAGCTTGTAATTTCTCTTGCAATGGCAATTCTGCAATATGGAAAAAAATGGTTAAAGAGAAAAGTCAGCACTGAAATGATTGCCAGGACGCAAATTTTATATGACCTTTTGCAATGTCTAGGCTTAGGCCTATTGGTCGCGACTATCCAATTCACCTTTAATTATAATACTCTGCCTTCCTGTCATGTTTAAAGGTCTAAAAACACAAGCTTCATGGCCAGTTCTTTGTCGTTCGCACAAAGCTTAGGGTAGTGTTGCAGACTGCAGTTGAAGTCACACACCAGCATCTGTTACAATGAGGTCGTTTTTCCCGTCGTCCGATCTCGATATGCACCAGGTCCGCCAGAAGGGACAACTCCGTCTCCTCGTCTTCCATTCTTGGCTTTGGCTGCGCTCTCGGGGGCCTCAGCGGGGAGCAACATGAACTCAACGGCGCTGCAATCTTTTTCACGAAGTCTCACCTCAAAGTCCGTCGGCCAGTCAGCTGTGTCTTGCTTGGAACAAGATAAAACTCAGACGATTCTCATACTTTCGAAGATTTCACCAATTGTAACCAAGTATTTTGCGCAATCTGAAATCTGATTGGCTAAATTTCGATCACATTGTCCTTCCCGAGTTCCTTGATTTTCATTGGCCGACAAATGTTTACAACCGGGCGTGCTGGCCAATCAAAAACGTTCCCGCGAGAACTCACATTATCATCTTACTCCTCTGGATTCTCTCAAATCACAACCGAATACCAAATCCGAACTCAAATCTAATTGGCGAAGCTTTTCCCACCCTCGCCTTTCCATCTAACTCGATTCTCATTGGCCAACAAATGTTTACAACCGGGCGTGCTGGCCAATCAAAAACGTTCCCACGAAAACTCAAATTATCATCTCACTCCTCTGAATTCTCTCGAATCACAACCAAATACCAAACCCAAACTCAAATCTAATTGGCCAAATATTTTCCCACCCTCACCTTTCCATCTAACACTATTCTCATTGGCCAACAAATGTTTACACTCGATCGCGCCGACCAATCAGAGACGTTCCCGCGAAAAGCTCCCGCGCCCGATCAGCTGAGAGAGACAAGAAGGCGGACGGTCGCGCTGAGGAGGGAGAGGCCGCCGGGGGAAGAGCTCACCTTTTTTCACTTTTCTTGGTGCTTTTCGGACAGAATCATGGAGGAGGAGTGCGCAATAGGTGAGTTGATGAAGACACGTAGGTTTTAGGAAGAAAGAAAGGGTGGATTGCATAATAATTTTGGTTTTTCGTTCGAAGTTTTGTTGGTGACCTGACTTGATCGAGATTTTGAGTTTCGGGAAAAAATGAAGCGACTAAAAAAAAAAGGAAAATCATCTTCAAAAACAACCGGAAAAAAAGAGAAGAATAAAGAAAGCAAGTGTTTCATAAAATAGAAAGTATATAAATATAGACTAGAAGAAGAAAACAAAACTAAAACATAAAACAAGAAAAAACAAATGAAATTAAAAGACTCGCACAAGTAAAAAAAAAAAAAAGAAAAAAAAAACGTAACGAATCCTTTGCCTTTTAGGATATTGACCTTTCCCCCCCTCCCCCCCCTTCTTCAAAGTTTCAAGTGATATTTTTGCAATGTTCTGATATTGCAAAGTAAAATGCATATGTTTAAAATCGTGTTCGTGTTCAATTATCTTCAAGATTCGTTACAGAGAATAATAATTAAATCAAAAAATATCGTTGAATACAGAGAATAATGATTAAATAAATTAAATATCGTTAAATGAGAAAGATGTTTTGATTCGATGCATTGGGTGTGAAATCCAACTGCATTGTTATCATAACTTTTTTTTTTCAATGAATGTTGTAAATTTTTCAATGAATGTTGTAAATTTTTCAATGAATGTAATTTTTTCAATGAATGTTGTAAATTTTTCCATGAATGTTGTAAATTCCATCAAATAACCATCAATTTCTTCCTTTTTCTGTGTGTATCTATTACATACTAGTATTAAGAGTAATTCCTTGCAATATTTGGGTCTTTTTAATGCAAATCCTTGTAATTGTAGAGTGGAATTCACAGGGGGAGGTTTAAAGAACCCTCATGTGGTTTTTCAGAATGGATGTTTTTTTTCTATTAATTATATAGGTTTGTTCTATCAAAATCTTCTTTGATATACTATGATCTATGATGGATCACTTGCAACATGAGGATTAACATGTTTATTGTGGTCTTTTATATTATGTACTTCTGCAAAGGTTGGCGAATGTCCACTATGTATATTCTGACTAATGCTTGGATGATTATACTTGATTAATTGCCTAGGAGGTCTGCAGGCTGTTTCTTGCAAGAGCACGGTGGTGTTTTTTATTTTTTATTTTTTGGCTTTTGCTGTAGTGTTGACAGGCAGGACGTCTGTACTAATTGGCATGAGATCAGAGGTGGATGTATGGATGTCTTTTGAACATTTTCTAAAGTAATTTGCATAGGTGTCTCCTGTTGATCTGTTTACAGTTTGCTTGTCATCTTGAGAGTATGTAAAATTTTACAGTATGTTCGGTCCACGTTATTGTAAGATATTTCCGTCCTCTTTGGTATAGGGTTTTTGCATATAAGGACAAATCTGCCATGTGTTCATTTAGACAATTATTTGTTCTTTTCATGTTTATGAAAGTGGAATATTTTACTACTATATGTCCAAGTCTTTCAATACATGCCCCCTAAACTGCAAGCATGGGGCTTTAACAGAATGTCCGTTCTATTAAAAACACTTCAGGAAATTCAGGCTTTACTGGCAAATAGCATTTTTAAGAATTTGGAAAAAGATTGGACCTGAATGATTTTGGTAACTTGCCAGTTAATAATCCTAATTTTTGTAAATGTTCTATTTATTTATGCTATTTTATTTATTTTTTTAATTGGGCAGCTTCTTAGGAAATTCAAGTAAATAGTTCGAACTGGGCATAGCCATGTAGGGTCTTAATCTTTTATACAATATTTCTAATCACTGAGCGATATTTGTTTTATAGAGTGGTTGAAAACTCCAAGCACGTATTTTGGAGAAAAAGGCAGTTTCTGAGAATGGCTTACTAGGAGGTTACATCTGTGTTATGTCAGTTGACTGTTAGGGTATATTCTCATTAGCTTTCTAGCTTTTTGTGAATTAATTGGGCATTTTTTAAATTGTTTTTTACCTGTGATTCATTACTATTCTTTTGCTTTGACAAAATAAGATATCCTGGATGTAGTTGTCTATTTATGTCAGTTATATACTTTATAACTTCTTATACTGTGTGAGAATGTTTGGGACTCCTGCTCTTTCTTCTATTTGTGTATATGATGGAGGGATTAATGTCTAAGCATTTTCTTTTTATGAAGCTGGTGCAGAGGTGTGTCCTGGTTACTTTTACCAAAGGTTTAAATACTTGGTGAAATTATGAGCTCACATTGTCATTTGTTCTAAAGTCTTTTAAGATTCTTTATTGTTATTTTTTCCCACAAATTTAAGCCCAATAAGTATTTTATTCTGAATATCATCCTCTTTCCTTTCAGTGGGTGAGGTGGGCAAGAAGGGGTTTGGAAGCCCACCCTTAAAGAAACTTAAGCAGAGTGAGTATGAAGTATATGCTTGTTTCATTATTTTGTATTTAAAAATTCTTTGATGGACTCGTACACATCAAAATTAATGTTTCAGCTGAAAGTTATGATCATATGCTAACTAGATTTTCACCAATTGGTTCACATTCATTAATGCTTGTTTAATTCTTAGGTCGTCTGCCTTTTGCACCTCTGGATTCCAAGACCCCACAGAAGAATTCAAGCCCCAACAATCAGAAGAAACGGAAACTGTCAGGCTCTGAACTCTCTCAGAACTCGCCCAAGACTCCTCGCAGTGAAAACAACTCAATGAGCGAAACCCCAGTGACAGAGAGGACGTTGCAAACACCAAAGTCAGTCGGAAGTGCCACCAAAGACAAGTCAAAGCAAGGGGTGACACCCACTGAATCGTCTAAAAAGAGGGGGAGAGGAAGACCTCCGAAGAGTGAAAAGGAAAAGGAAGAGAGCAAGAAAGCAAAGCAAGCTAGGTAAGATGAAACTGTTACAGCATTTTGATTTATGTGAATGTTACATGTGTGTTTAGAGGCTCGGGTAAAATGTATATTCTTCATTTTTTATCATGTATCTTTATCTCTCTATTTCTCCCCCATCCTTGAGTCTCTCTTATACAGCCATTGCTATCTCTCCAGCTACCAAATGACCTCCGATGATGAAGTGAGTTCCAGTGTCGATGACGACATTGACGTACCTGAAGCGAAGAAGAAACCGGTCGAGAAAACGAGGAAGCTACTGTCTGCCTTCATGAGCAAGGAGCCAACCCAGCAGGCAGAGGTCACTACTTCTACGGACGATGTGGACAAAGATGAAATGGAACAGGAAGACAAGGAGAACAAAGAATGTACCAGTGAGGAGGAGAGTGGGAGAGGGGAGATGGAGATAACCTCAAAGGATGACAGTCCCGAGGAAGAGGTTGCTGAGAGTGGAGCTGATGCAGCTAGCAAAGAGGAGGAAAAACCTGTGGAAAATGCACCAAAAGATGATAGTGCAAATGAGGAAGAGAGTAAAAAGAGCAGCAAGAAAACCTCACCATTAATTAATATGCTCAAAGCAAAGAAAACTAGCAATGTTGCAAAGAAGGCAATGGCTGCTCAGGAAAAGGCAGTGGAAGGAAAATCAGAGAAAGAGGAAAAGGTAGAGGATAAATTGGAAAAGGAAGATAAGACGGAGGAGAAACCAGTGGGAGCCAAGAAAGGAAGTAAACCAAAAATAATCAAAGCAGAAGGGAAGAAGGGAAAAACAGAAGGAAAGAAGAAGGAAAAGTTAGGAGGGAAGAAGAAAGAAAAGTTAGCAGAGAAGTTAGAAAAGAAGGAAACTGAAGAAAAGCAGACTAAAGATAAGAAAGAAGAGACTGAGAGCAAAGAAGTTTTAGAAAAGAAAGAAGAGGTAGAAGTGAAGAAAACAAATGAAACAGAACCAAAGGAGAATCAGGAAAGTGAAGAGAAAGGTGTTGAAAAGGGAGGAAAAAAGCTGAAAAAGAAGGGCAAGGAATTAGAAACCAAAGCAGAATTCAAAAAGGCTAGCAAAGAAGAAGTACAGACAGATGACAAAACAGACGAAAAAGAAGAGGAAGCTGAAATGAAAAAGAAACCAGAGGATGGAGACAGTGATTCCATCAAGGAAGAAAAGGACGAAAATGAAGGAAATGAGAACAAGGAAGAAAAAGAAAATGAGGAAGGAAGTGAGAACATGGAGGAGAAAGAAGATGAGGAAGAAGATGAAATCAAGGGAGAGAAGGAAGAAAATGACGATGGATGTGAGAGTACGGAGGAGATGGAAGTCGACTTGGATGCCAGTGGATCCTCAAAGAGCGACGGCACAGGTTCGGCCAACACCTCACCAGTCCCGTCATCCAAAAGCTCTGATAAGCTCGAGGTACCCAAGGCTTCGGGGCAGAAGACGCCAGTCAGTGTACAGAAGGCAAAGAAGCTCACTCCAAAGCAGATGGCCAAGGAAGCAGAGAGGCAGCAAAAGAGGGATGAGAGAGAGAGGTTGAGGAAAGAAAGGGAGAAGAAGAAGCAGGAGGAACTGGCTGAGAAGGAGAGGGTCAGGAAGCAAAAGGAGGAAGAGAGGCAGAAGGCAAAAGAGGAGAAGGAGAAGGCCAAAGAGGAGCTGAAAAGGAAGAGACAAGAAGAAATTGAGTAAGTTTTTTTTTTTTTTTTGATAACATGTAGTTCATATTTTGTCTGAACTTATGATGTGTGTTCATGATAAGGATAATCTGTACTGGGTAAAATCTACTATCTTCTTTATCAAGCATTGATGTTTTTATGAGTGAAATAAGTTCAAATTACTAGTTGTGATATAGTTGAGATTGTGACTAGATGTTATAACTTTGTGTTGTCTGTATGTTTTGCACACATTAATATACTTGAAACTTCAGAGCAAAAAAACAGAAGAAAGAAGAGGAACAGCAGTTAAAAGAAGTCGAGAGGATGATAAGAGAAGAGGAGGCACGGCTAGCACAGGAAGAAAAACAAAAGCAGAAAGACAAACTGAAGCACAAGTTTGCCAGTTTCTTTGTTGCCAAGAAGAGAGACCCAGAGGAGGCTGAGGAAAAGAGCAGCAATGGGAACTTCAAGGAATTTAGGGTAAGTTTCCATTTTCTTTATTATTATTATTATTATTATTATTATTATGCATATTCTTATATTGGGAATAAGTCATCTTGCTGAACAGCCGTGGGTTCATCCCCTTTCTGGGCATTAACCCATTCACGTCGGGTGTCAGGTATACGTGACATGTCCACTGTGAGTTTACTTGTTTAATTGTTTTTACACATAGATGGCTACACTTGTACTTGTACTGCCTGCCTCGCCAGTTTACCCTTTTCTTTAATTTACGAAAATATTTTACGTTATCTTATTTTGTTGTTACTAATGTTTATAACATTATAGTAATTATAATGTTTATTATAAAGATAATCATTGATATTCATAGCACTAGTAAAAAATACATTTTCCCACCAATGAATTCTGGTAAGGCAGAGCCATCTATGTGTAGAGACATTTCACAGAAAGTATAAAAAAGGAGCACAGCATTTTCCCCATTTTTTGTTCATTTTTACCCGTTGCGAATGGGTTAACCCGGGACCTTTGTGATTGGAAAACCAGCATATACTGAGCTTATAGCCACTATTACAACAGCTGGGATGGTCCAGTGATTTAAGCATTGGACTCCAACCCTCATGCTCCTGGGATTGAATCCTTGTTGAGTTAGTTGCACAGAGGGGACATAAATGCAGTGGTAGAGTGCTGGCTTTGTAGTTCCAAGGTTCTTGCCTGCTCAGCCTCTTGGTTTGACTGCCTTCATGATTGAGTCAAAGTTGTAGTGGCCAACCTACCTGCAGCTTTAAATTGCAGTATCATTATTTGCATAATTAGAACAGCTTTTCATTGTAAACTGTGTGTCGCTAATATTTAGTTTAAAAGAAAATCTGAAAAAGTGAGTGTCATGAGTGCTTATAATTGGAAAACCAGTTGCCTTGCCAGTATATACAACTGCAAGAACTCATCTTCTGATAATTTGTTTTGATTCAGGTAAAGGAAGACATGCAGCTTGCTCCACTAGTCCGTACAAATTTCACAGAAGAGCGTCGGACATCTCTTGTTGAGTATTTAACCAAACAAACAAAAGATTCGTCTGAAACCTACTTGACTGTTCTCAAAACAGGAACTTATGCACCTTGCAAATCTCGACGCACTTGGCCTTTTGAGAACAAGAAGGAAGAAGTCGATGATGATATTGAAATTATTGGTATGTTTGTGAGTTACTGTTCTTTTGATTTTCATATTTAACTGAATGTTTTGAAATAGCTAGCAAAATTGAATGAGTATAGGTTTTCCTCTGCTATTATTATTATTATTGTTATTGTTTTTGTCTTTTTAACTTATATTTGTATGTTTTTTTTGTTGTTTTTTCCCCATTTGCCTTTGCATTGCTTTTTTTTCATACAATTTCTTCTCTTAGCTTTCTCTTCTAAAGTTTTTATGGAAGGGAGAAAAAACTGTTTTCCTGTGAAATAGATACTGAAATTAGTCTATGAAAATGACCCATTGTCTGCTCAAAATTGCAGAAGATGAAGATGGGGATATGGATGCTGGAGACTCAATGGTTCAGGAAGCAGAACCAGATCTGAATAGCAAGACAGTTAAGGCCAAGCTGCTACAGTTTTGTGAAAATCGCAGACCAGCATATTGGGGAACCTGGAGCAAGAAGAGCAAAAACATCTGTGCACGACGGCCGTTTGCAAGAGATGTGAGCTTACCCTTTGTTTTTCCCCTCTTGGATCTGTGCAATTTCCTTATCTATGTTTTTCTTTTTTCTCATATCCTCCTTGTCCTTAGCCAGGAGGCAAGACAACTTATTTACTTGGTCTTGTTAGGGCTTGTCATGAATATATATAAGTTATGAAAACATTTGTCATGATTAACTTCATAGTTATATAAACAGATATTTTCAAAATTTGGCAGACTGTTAATAATCATTGCATTAAGATTTTCATTAAAATTTTAACACAAAAAATTCCAGGATATTTTCAACTATGAGTACGACAGCGATGACGATTGGGAGGAAGAAGAAACGGGAGAGAGCCTGAGTGACTCTGAAGGAGAGGAGAAAGAGGAAGAGGAGGGAGATCAGTATGAAGTTGATAATGACTTCTTTGTCCCTCATGGCTACCTCTCGGATGATGAGGGCAAGTCTGACCAAGAGGAAGAGGAAGAGAATGGACAGGAAGAGGTGAGGCTTGAATGTGATGTTTTTGTTGGAAGTATTTGCTTTCATTAATCAGTTAGCTTTAAGAACAAGTGTAAAAAAAAGGTATTTGTTTTCATTGGTTGATATGCATAAGTTGATAAATCTTGTGCTTGTTTTAATGAGAACAGGGTTTCTAAACACTGCATGGATTTTCTGAACTCTGTTAGGCACTGTTGTAGTGCACTCTCATCTTGTTTTCTGCTATGTGCTCCCCAGCTTACCCTGTATAATGAGAGTAATTTCTGCAGTTAATTAGAATTGTAATCCTTTTTTGTGGACTTCTTAAATGATATTTACACTCCTTTTCTTTCCTTATGAATGGAGGTGAAGAAACAGTGGACTTGACTTTAATTACATATTTGCTTTTAATTGTAACTCAGTAACTTCAGTTTTTATATTTCTCTTCACCATCATGATTATTATATGTATAAGAATGTCTGATATGTTAATTACAGGATAATGGAAGCAAACACAAAGAGCAGCTGAAACAAAAACAAGCAGAATTTGAAGAGGAAATGAAAAAGAAGACAAAGCATCTGAAGCCCCGTGTAATTGGTTCTCTATGGATGGCAGATGCAAACAATAATCCAGGTAACTTTTTCAAGAGTGGTTGAGTTGATGAGTCTCCCAGCTTTGTGGTTTAACCCATTGCCGACAGGTATGCCATGCCATGCCCACTGTGAGATTACTTGTTGGATTGTTTTTACACATAGATGGCTACACTTGTACTAAATCACCAGTGAGCCAGTTACGAGTACCGCCTGTCTCGCCTGTTCACCCTTTTCTATGATTTACGAAATGTTTTATGTTATCTTATTTTGCTGTTACTAATGTTAAAAACATTATAAAAATTATAATGTTTATGATAAAAATAACACCATCAATATTCATGGCACTAGTGAAAATTACGTTTTTCCTGCCATTTCAAATCAGGCATTAACAGAGCCATCTATGGGCAGACATTTCACACAAAAAAAGATATACATAGTAAATAAGCACAGCATTTTCCCCCATTTTTTGTTCATTTTCCCCGGCAGCAATGGGTTAATGGCTCAGCCCACACGAACACTTGTGTGGTATAGAGATTCCTTGCTTCTCCTTTCTTTTTCTACATTGATTTTTATTGTTTTTTAGCTATTTTCCAAGGTCTGATGTCATTTGTTATGCTATATCAAGATGTTAGTAGACTTTCTGTTGAGCAGACTCCATATTATCTCTAGGTAGTCTACTACTCTGTGCTTTAATGATAACAATAAGTAGAATTATTGTTTTTATTAATTTTTATTTATTTATTTATTTATTTTTTACATTTTAGTATTGTTTTGTTATCTGTAGTCCTTTGCCACTGGTTGCGGCAGGCAGAATAGGATCTTGATCATAAAAATAGTATTCTAAGGAACCAGCACTCATCCAGCCATATCTCACAATTAGCATATTCCACCTTTGTTTACTGGTGGAACTAATGCAAGAGACCCTTTCTGAATAAATGCCTACTGAATATATTCTTCCTCAGAGAGCTTTGTGCACTCATGGCAAATCATTCTGGCTGACAGCTGAATTTTTCATGATGGTATGGCTGTATCACCTGGATCCAATGGTTAAAGATTTTAAGAAAAGTAAATTTTGCATTCAAATAAAGCCATTCAGAATAAAGGGATCAATGTAGCTATTTTAAGTCTTCTAACCTGCTATCTGTTAGCCAAAATAAGCCCCTGACTAGTTACCATGGCTAACCAATTATCAATTCTTGTTATTTTTCTAAAACTAGCACAAAATTATCTAAAGATATAAATAGCAATAAAATTTGATTCTGAAATCTGCCATTGCATGGTGATGAAGCCTCTCTATACAAATACCATGCACACATGTGGCTATTTCTATGTTTATGCTTGCCCTTACATCTGGGGCTGGGGCTCTCTCAATTTTAACAAACTAGCCATCTGTCTTTCTTTTAACTGTGTGTTAAGAGATGAATTTTATTTTTTCTAGCTTTCAATCAACTCCTGAAGATCCTGAATCCACACAAAGCAGTGACCTTAGGAACCAGCCTTCCCATTGGCACTCGTCACGGTGGAGTAATTCCCAAGGACACAAAGGAACAGAAAGATGATGATGATGGGTCAGCTGAAGACAAGGGAAATACTAAAAAGTTTTGCAAGACTTTCCCTGAAGAAGGTGAGTTTTTCTGCTTTATCACTGTTTATTTTTTTGGAATAAGAAATCAAATCTTATTAGCAAGTATATAAATGGGACACCAATATAGATATCTTGTTTTCTGCTTTACATCATTCACTTATCAAATCTTATAATCCTATTCATTACAGCTGTGCCTGCTCTCATCAAGCTCCTCCATGGAAATCGCAATGGGAAGGTTTTCCTTTCCCGTGAGTTTTCTGACTTTTGGCGAAGACTGCAAGCGGGAGAACTGGATGAGGAACAGTTGGAGGGCATTCCAATGCTTTCTTCTCCCGTTCAAGGTGAGTGCATGTTATGGTTTAGAGTTTAATTTTCCTTGTTTTTCATTTCTCTTCCTTGTCCTCCTACTTACTTAATCCATTTACATTTTCTCCTCCACCTGGTAATATTTCCATTGTTTTCATCTTTGTAGTTTTATTCATTGTTACTTATGTTCTTGCTCTTTCTTCAAGTTTTCCCTCCTTTCTATACAATTGGTTGTTCACTTTTCCATTCTTTCCCATCCTCCATTTCTTTTTCTTTTTTGGTTCCTCCATCCCTTACATTTGTGTACTTAATTTTTTTTTTTTTCATTTTGCTTCATTCTCATACTTGAGTATTTCTCTCTGCTTAACAACATCCTACATCCTGTCATTTATTGTCATCTGTCAATTATCATCATTGGCAGCATCAATTATCATCACGTTTTCTTTTATGTAAGGTTATTCTGTGATGAAAAATAAAACTGCTAACCATTATTACTTTGACATTTCAGCCAACATGTTTTTGGCCCGGAAAAAAGTGGAATCCAAAATCCAGGAACTGGGCCACTGGCGTAAATGTCCAGAGGAAGGCCCCTTCAACAAGGTCATGATGTGGTATGTATCTCAAGTTTTTGTCTTGGAAAATACAAACATGTATTCATGTGTACTGTTTCTCACTGGGTTGATCTGTACAACTGGCTGGGTAAGTTTACAGACAGCCTAATTTTATCGAGCTGGGATTTTATCAGGTAACACTGTGATGCACTCAAATATAATGCTGTAAACCTTGTTGTACAATAGACAATGTTAAAAAGAGGTCAAAGCAAATTTTGTCATATGTTTTAATAATTTTACAAGAAAGCATATTACAGCTGACATTTCAAGTTTTATTTTTGTAATTGAATGTTATTGCCCTCACTTCTACTCATTACAGCCTACACTTGCTAAAGATTGAAAAGATAATTATAAAAATAGATAAATGAACTAAATACAAAAGTGTGTAGATATGACATAATTGTCTTTTGCTTATATTTCCAATAATATTACATAGCACTACTTGGTAATTTTAAAAGTATATATAATTTTGAGAGGTTTGATCTTTTTGGTGTGAAGTAACATCACATATTTTCCTTGACTTTTTGGTTTTGGCAGGGGAATATCAGTTTTCTTCAAAACTGCTGAAGGCACTTATGTTCAAATTACATATAGCTTGATCATATAGGTTACACAGATACTTCATGCCTGAACAAGGGAGAACAAATAAACATATTGATGATATTATTTTTCTATTCTTCTGACTTGCAAACTGTCCCATCAAAACAAGAATCGGTATGCAAATGCAAAGGCAAATAAAGGCAACAGATGGTTATGTTGTATATCTGTTAATTATATTTATTTCATTTGCTATCATTATTATCATCATTATTCATATTTTTTATCCTTAAGCTAATGGAGGCTATTATTAGTATAGTTAAGTGAGGGTCTTAATACACTATGATGTCTAGCATATTTATTTGTTTTAACCATTAGCCATTCATATACTTTCTCATGCATTTTATTTTAAATATTAAGATATAAAGGGCAAACTTTTCTTAGACTTTTCTAATATTGTTTATTTAACAACAGGGTTTATATTGTTAGACTTGATTGCACTAGTGTTCCCAGATAAAATCCCAGTTGTTAACCTTGGGTGGCTGTTAATTTTTTCAGCCAGCTGTATGCACACACACACCCTCACATATTTACACTCTGCATGCAGCTATATATGTACAAATCCACTGACATCTTATTGTCTATATGCTTGTGCTTCCCTTTTTATATGTATAGATATAAATATACATCTTACTTTTCAGCATTTTTACATACATAGGTTTAGTGTCAGTTTATTCTTTGATATAGTTTTGAGTTAGTGTTTTCTACCTATTTTCATGCATAGTACTGCAATATTTAATGGGAATATTATTATCATTATTATTGTCATTTTTTTAAGGTATGTCTCAAAGCAAGTGCGAGAAGAGCATGGTGTTGCGGATATAACTGTGCCAAATTCTTGGAATTTTATTAATAAACCTAAGGAAAAGCGGGAGGTGAATTTTGAAGACCCAGACACCATGGAAGAAAGCAAATCCAACAAGGCTGGAAAACTGACTCCCATCACAGCATTCACCAAGAAACTACCAACAACCCCATCCTCAGCAAATACCTCCCCTACCTCCACACCAGCTACAACACCTCAAACCCTGAAGTCAAGTGAAGGATCTCCAAGCAGCGCATCACCTGCACCAGTGACTCCAAGTAGAAGTGCCGAGAGTCCTCCCAACAGCACAGGGGACACGCCGTCAGGAAAATCAGGGACTCCTGGACAGCCAAAGAAAAAAGTGGCTCTCTTCTCTGTTCCTCGCAATCAAGAGATAACAGATGCCCAGAAAGCATCCTTTGTGTCTTTCTTTAAGAAGAATGCAGAAAAATCGCCTGCGCCCACTAAGTCAGATTCTTCAAAAGACAAATCCAGTGAAAAGACCAGTGAGCCAGATCCTAAAAACGATGACGATGATGACATTCAGTGCATAACATTAGAGTAGTTTTTTTTTATTATTTTTATATTTGGCACTAACCTATAGTATTTTTTAAGGGATATTTTATAATTTTATTTTGGTTTTCTCAATATATTGCTATTTTAAAGTTTATGGTAATTACAATAAAAATAAGAACCAATTTTTGTGGGAGCTATTTGTTAAATAAGTATTTAAAATTCTCCAGTGTTTATATTTTTCATGGAATTTTTAATAAAGTAGCAGAATCATTGTTACTTAATCCTTTTCTGTAGAATCAAACTGCAATATGATTGAATTTACTCTGAAAAAAAATTAGATATACCTAATATATAGTATATAGTTTCCATTTTTAATACAATTATTGTAAAAAAGAAAATTAGTTTTCTTAAACCTTTCAAAAGTATTCCAGCTATGGATTAGTACACCTACTTTAAGACCTTCCTATATCCCAGATGACAATATTTCTATAAAATTATCAATCTCCTAGTCGGCTTTATTTCACTGGAACAGATGTTGGGAGACAGCTCTCACCTATATAACACACTCCTATCTGATGTTACATTCTGATCTGGCCCTATGTTCCTTATGTAGTGTCCCTCTTTCAGTTCCACACATTCTGTTGTCCTGTCCGTACTTTGCTGCAGCCCATAACCCACCTATTCTCCATTCAACTGACCTCCCAACCTATTATATATCTTTATGGAATCCCACATTTTCTGCTTCAACCTGTTCTCCTTCCTCAGATGCATACATATCCTTCCCTTGATCTAATACCTCTTACCTAATTCTACCTTCATCCATTCACTCATTAACTCCTTTAACCATCTTTACCCTTTTCAATATTAATTTAGGTAGTTGACATATAACTAACTACTAACTCACCCACCCTTCACTACTCTTTACATTACCTTCCTATAGTGCTACATGACCTTAGATGTCTAGAACATATATTTTTTGCTTTTAACCAGTAACCCTTTCCCGATGGGCATGGAATGTATGTACGTGCCATGCCGACTGCGTATTTAATTGTTTGATTGTTTTTATACATAGAGGGCTACACTTGTACTAAATCACCAATGACTACTGCCTGTCTCGCCCGTTTACCCTTTTCTTTAATTTACAAAAATATTTTACATTATCTTATTTAGCTACTACTAATGTTTATAACATTATATTAATTATAATGTTTATAATAAAAATAACACCATTGATATTCATAGCACAAGTAAAAAGTACATTTTCCCGCGAATTCAAGGAAAGGTGAAGTCAGGTAAGGCAGAGCCATCTATGAGCAGACATTTCACAATAAATATAAATGAGCACAGCATTTTCCCCATTTTTTATTAATTTTACCTGCAGGCAATGGATTAACCACTGTCTAAACAAGCCCTCAGATCTATGTCCTAGCTGACATAGACTTGTATTAAAAGTCAACCATGTTAATGAAATTACATTAATTTTAAAATTTGGGCTAGTCTTTAGTATTTGGTCTCATAAATGATTAATTTGTGTACCTGCAAAATTATTTTTAAGCTAAAAAGTTTCATTGCTTATTTACTTTTACAAATCTCTGTTGCAAGATACCTGTTGTAGGCCAATTGATTACAACTCAAATTCCTTCTGGAGTTCAAACGAAAGACTCGCTACACCCAGGGGATATTGTCACAATTTCTACCAGACTAAATCCAAACTTTGATAATGATGCCTCTTAATCAGAATAGCATACCTATGCTATTCTGATTAAGTCCAGAGAACATGAAAATTTGTTCCCATCATTATCAAAATAACAAGAACACTCATGACAATTAAATACAGGCCTCATTCTAAAGTAAACTTTTAAGTTATTATTATTATTTTTTCTCTTGCAATATAATTCTATAGACAAACCTGCCATTACCTTTACAAATGTCTGTGTTACTTTCCCCAGAAATTTTACTTGAAATAAAGATTTGTTCAAGGTTAAATGTTAATACATGCCTAATGAAAAAAGTCCTCATTTGGCATATAATTGTAAATTGCTTTTTGTAAAAGGACCTCTTTTAGTCATTTTCATGAACACTGCAAAGTAGTTATCCACATGGAATGTATGGGGTGGGGTCAAAAGAAAAAAGACATCTCTCTTTTTATTCTTTTTAATGTGATTAGAAAAAAAAGGTGTTACATGTTAAATATCTTGCTGACAATCATTAAACTGTAATATTAAATCTTAAGCATTAGCCGAGCTGATTTGATCCTAGTTTCCTTAAGATTCCAGAATGAAGTAGGAGGCAGCACTGGGTATTTCTTGACTTTTTTTCTCAACTTCTTAAAAGGTATTTAAAGCAATTCCTACAGATACAACCTAGTCTAGCAAGGTCCATGATCTGCTGTGCGCTTCCTTGGAGCTGCTTTGATGATGTCATCAACTCTGAGAATCATTTCTGCTGCTTCAGAGGCTGACAACATGACCTGCCTCTTAACCTGATAACTTTCTGTGATGCCCACCTCATTCATACAATCGACAATCCCTTCATCCATGTTCAAGCCAAAGGTGGTTTTGCCCTCAGCATGAGCTGCTCTCAATTCTGATACCAACTGGGCTGAATCATACCCAGCATTGTCAGCAATGATGGTTGGGATCATAAGGAGTGAACGAGCAAAGGATTCCATTGCAAGGGCTTCCTTACCAGCTACATGGACAGCAGCATCCATAACAGCCTTGGCCATGAGGGTTTCACTGCAACCTGTGATTTAAGAAAATATTTAGATTATTGTCTAAGCACATAATTTTGAAAATATACTCAACTGTATATATTATAAAAATATTTCCATGTGGGTGTACAAATATCTCTTTGTAAAGGCTTCATTATGATGATTAAAATTCAGTACATTAGCAACTCTTACCTCCACCATATACTGTTCGTGTCTCCTTCACTGTTTGAGTGAGGACACAAAGTGCATCGTGCAGGGATCGGTCTGCTTCATCCAAGATCTGGTTTGTGGCACCTCGCAGCACAATGGTGCAAGCTTCACCCATCTGGACACCACTGAGACGAATCATGCGGTCCTCACCAATGATACACTATAAACAGACATGAAATAATTTAGTTGACCTTCCACTCTTAACCCCTTTGTGATCTGATTGATGTGACCTTCATGTCATGAAAAAATCTGGCTTGAGGAGCAGGTGACATGAACAAATGAAGTGCACAAATCTCTTGGGAATTTTTCCTTTTTAAAAATTCATTTAGCAATTTTGCATCATTACTATCAATGGAAGAGTGTGGAATGCAGTGTCTGTGAGCCGTGACTGGAAGAGTGCTGGCTCCACGGTGGATGCCATTTCCATGTTTAGCATAGTATTCCTGGCGCCGTGACCAGCAACACAGTTTGTTACAGAAAATTGAATATGAAAAAACATATATATATAAAAAAAAAAAAAGATAAATAATAGTTATATATTCTTCTTGCACCAAGTGGTTTATTACCTAGAGAGAGGAGTCTGGAGTCTGTGCAAAGAGAAGAGTACTTCTATTTAGATAATGAAATCAAACGGCAAATATGGACATTGGAAAATGGCAAAACAGCTAAAAATACTTATGCATAAAAAGAGGAAATAACTTTGCAAATAGGAGGCATAGAGTCTTGCCACCACACGTGTTCACAAACTCTGGCCTACAAGTTGCCGCCCATTCATGTAAGCCTAATGGCCAGATTATTGGTGACGTGATTGCCATGATGCAACCAGATCCAAGGGATTAATGCTATAATTTCTCATGATCTTTTGACATCAAATATAAGCAAACAGACAGCCAGTTTATACCATAAAATGAGAACTTACCTCTTCAATGAGATCACATTTGCCAAGTTTAACCAACTCGGGATTGTCAAATGTTGAGGTAATTTCACCACCAGTCACAAGAGCCAGACGCTCAATGCCATCAAAGTCTGCATGCTCAATGGCCATCACTCCAGCATCAGCAAACAGTTGTTCAGGGTAGTTGTAAATCAACTGTCTGTAAACACACAATATAAACATTTAAAAGGAAGCCAAAATTTAAAATCATCTTTATACTTCTTAAAATAAATTACGTCTATTTCTAATTAGTAAACTTTTAATCTGACCCTTTATTCAAGAGACCCTAATAACACATTTGTCTATAATAAGACCTTCCCTTGTTGAAGTGCACTTTCAAGAAAATCTGTGGAAGACAGAAAAGGCCTTTACCTGTTGATGAATACATTGATGTCATGTTTGAGAATCTTCTGCACCTTAGTCTTCATCTTTTCCTTCTCAGCAATTTCCAATTCTGCAACCTATAAAGAAAATGTGAAACCATTTATAGCACAAAGTTGATAATCTCTTTGTAAATGATTATGTTCTCCAAATCGAATCAGACTTTAGCTTAAAATGCATTACGAAGTTAAGAAGTACTTACCTTAGCTGTGGATTCGACAGAGATCTTTGAACCGAACACCTTAATCTTGTCAGTGTCCATGGGTGTGTTGGCAATCAGAATTTTTGCATTCTCAATGCGCTTGGGCTGATTAACACCAATTTTCTTCTCAAGGATAAAGCCTGCACAATAGATTTAGGGTAATGTGTAAGTTACTGTACAAGATTAACCCAATGGCGCCGGGTGTACAAAAAAAAACAAAAAAAAAACTCTACGCTTAAACAAACAAAGGCGGCGATCGGCGTCACCCGGCACCAACGGGTTAAATAATATACTAGGAATAGTTTGCCTAGTAATTGGTCTAAAGAGCCAAGTATCTTATTTCACTTATGCAACATTTAGCTTTTATGATGATTATGATGATTATGATGATGATGATGATGATGATGATGATGATGATGATGATGATGATGAGAGAGAGAGATAATACTTATACACATCACTTACTACACAAAACAAACAAACAAAAAATTACCTTCATCAAGGAATGAGTCGCCTAAGGTGCCACCCTGTTTCTTAATAATCTGGATAGCATCAAGATTGCCTGATCCCTTCAGCCTCAACACAGCATCTACAGCCAAGTTGGAGAAGAAATCTTTGTGTTGAGCCAAAATCTTGGAACTCAGTGTGGTCTTGGCAATCTGGAAATGAAGGAATAGTTTTGTGTTACTCATTAGTGGGATTGGCTCAAGCTAACAAAAAGCACTCAGTGTTTTTTTTGTTTTTTATATACCCTGCTGGATAAAACAAAACACAAACCATATCAAGTGATTAAATATTCTTTGAGGAAGGAGAAAATAAAAGTTTGTGTAGGTACCCCTGTTGTGCTGTGATGACAAAATGCATTAAGCAACTACAGGCAAGGTTCAATATTTTTTTGCAATGAATTCTAGCAGGGGCTGAGAACATAGTACAAAGTCAACATATAATGAGATGTGTGCCCTGCCTATGTTGACCTTCGCTGTCAGAATGCATTAACCCATACGTCACTGGAAAATGCTGGCTGTCTTTTTGATTACCCCCCCCCCCCCAATTTGTTTTCTACAATATAAGAAAACAAAATATTTCCAAAAAACAAGGAAAAGGACAAACAGGTGAGGCAAGTACTAGTCATA